CGCCGCAAGTACAATTAACTAACTAATTAATTACTCTGAGGGGAACCAGTGCCATATTCTTCTATATTTCATTGTTACATATGTTTACATGAAATGATGAGAAATTTTTATAAAAAAAAAAACCGATCGAGCGGCAAAATAAACATCCATAAACATGAAACTAATGTGTGCGAACCAGGAATGGGTTTAATTTGCTATTCCCCATGATCTTTCCTAAAGATTAATTAATTTGAAATTCTACAGAAATTATAAGTTATATATATATATGACTTTACCGGAGAAGCGTCTGGATTCTGAGCTTGATCAATGCGCTTCGTTGGCTTCGGAGAGTTGAAGCTCCTCAAATCTAGGGAGGTTAGAATGTCGGCGTCCGCGTCCCTGGGCACGAACTTTGGCGCGATTGGCCGGAGGCGTTTACAGTTGATGGTCAACGAAGGGGAGGGGGACGGAGAGGGAGAGGGAGAGAGTATGTTAGTCTCATCACAGAACGCGAGCCTCAGGTACTGTAACTTCATGCTTTTTTGAGGGCGAGGTCAAGGACTTACGTGGTGTGTGAATGCTAACAGATATATATAGCTAGAGAGAGAGAGAGAGAGAGAGAGAGAGAGAGAGAGAGAGATTTATTAGGGTTGCTTCGTTCACTAGAAATGTCACTAACTAGATAGTACACGGTGGTGTCAGTTGTATGCAGCTGTAGTTGCTGAAGTTATATGCAACATTATGTAGCGTGGAAGTTAAGACCTCGGAATCCAGTAGGGAACATTTTACAAATCCGTGAAGTGATATACGAAGGCTAAACATTATCAATAAAAAAATTAATGTCTCTAGGGCTTACAATCCTCAACTTATATAGAAAAGCTAGAAAGTAACAAAACTACCTTAAAAATACTCTATGTTAGAGAGAAAACCAGTCACATCAAACTAGATTAATTTGCTTCCTCATCAAAACCAGACACCTAAATCGTTGGCCAAAACAGTAATAAAAAGACAAAAGCCTGAGATCTTTCCATCTAGAGACGGTCTGTGTTTATTTGACTACATCTCGAAAAATTACGTGATTTTTATATATAACATGCCATTGTGACCGTCGTTTGTTTTAATTTTAAAATTTTGCAATTTGTGACAATTAATAGTTGCAGTTGCTTACTTAATTTGGATTATAATCAAATAACTCTTAGGACTTAATTTTGCTGGTGATTTGGAGCGGGTTAATTAAATCGTTTTTCTTACCCCCACCGGCCAATTCATCGGTCTCCGTAAAATAAACATCGATCTACTAGTAATATAAAACATCTCAATTACATTCAGCAGCAGGTTGAAAAGAAGCAATAATTCCTTTAATGGGGCTGATGACCTTGCAATGAGCAAAAGGTGCGAAGACCAAATGATGAGCGTCGGTTGACTTAATTGGGAGAAAAAGCAAGGATGAGAGAGAGAGAGAGAGAGATTTGAAGCGGAGGAGGGAGGGGAGGGAGGATGTAATTAATATATGGCTACCAAGGTTACTTTGATCTTGTGACGTTGGGGTGTCAAGTCGGTCGGGTTTTTTCTGGCTCTCATGATGCATTTCGGTGGAGATGGAATGAGGAGATTCCTCTCCATCCCTCAACAGAGCAAAAAAGAGGCAAAGGCAAAAAAGCGAGGCCCCATTTGCGTGATCAGCTCTTGAATATATATATATATACACGCATAACATGCTAGATTGTGCATGCGCTTTCAAACCTTAAGTAGTTTACACTTTTTTTTAAAAAAAAAATTTTGAGCTTTCAAACTGTTGTAATCTTGTTGTTATATCTACATACATCATATATATCAAAAGTAAGAATCAAACATAAAATATAAATGTAAATAGACAAGAGAAGAAATAGGGAGAAAAGTGATTCTCATTTTATTCATCTTCCTCATTCCTCCATACATTTTGTCTTCCATGGCTTACATTATATAGATGTGGAAGAGAATACTAAAAGTCACAAGTAGGTGAAGAGACTTCTTCTAGTAATGTCCACATTCATTTCATTTATATTTACAACACTCCCCCTTGGACATTACTACATGATGTTAATGCCTCGTTAAAAACTTCGCTAGATGAAAACCCAGTGGGAAAAACTAGTCGAGGAAAAGAGTACATGACATACATACATTATTTCTGTTACATCAGTTATCTCGTTAAAAACCTTTCGCTAAGAAAAACCGTGTAGGACAAAAACTTAGCAAAGGAAAAAAGAGTACAACTATAGATCTTCAGGATCCAAACTTGTGTTGCATTACCTGCCTCGTTAAAAACCTTTGGCTAAGAAAACCTAGTGGGACAAAAACTTAGCTAAGGAAAAAAGAGTACAGTCACCGCCTTCGGGGTTTGATCTTCAGGATTATTCTGAAAAATAATTCGCTCCCCCTCAAGACAACAAACATTCAAGTCTATGCATACCATGGTGGCTAAGCACGATACCATAAAATTAAAAGTTGATGTATTAAGGGATTTGGTGATCAAATCGTCTAGATTGTCACTACTTAAAGCGAACTTATCTATGTTAATTTCATTGTTATTTTCGAGCGCAAGTGGATAAAAATTTTCCACATCTCATTTATGCAACACAAGTTACATTGTCCTTAGAAAAGACAGCGGGGGTAATATCCTTGTTTAATATGCCACACGATCATCGAATGTGTTTTATCAGCTATTTGAACCTTACACGTTCGCATGGGGCACATATAGAGGAACAATCTATGAGTGGTTTCAACTAGTAAACATTGTCTGCTTAATAGACCTCCAAAAAATAACAGTACCACTGCAGAGAAAAACATAACCAGTCAGAGATTTGACAATATGGGGATCAGTCATATAACCAACATCAGAATAGCCCACCAATGTCATATTTCGATTTCTTTTATAGAATAAACAAAGATCTTTTGAAGATACCAGAGGATATATTTAACATTATTTCAATATCTCCTTTCAGGAGATGCACTAATTCTTGCTAGCAAGTGTAACACAAATGCAATATCAGGCATGGTGCAATTTGTAAGATAAATAAGTGTTTCAACTAGTAAACATCACCAGCTAGTATATAGTCTGATACACAAAAAATACAGCATTAAAAAACAAACAAACTGATGACTGATATTTAAGCCTACACTGGGAGAGACACTTTAGAGGGAGAACCACCGAACAATTCATATATCTTCGGAGAAGTTATCACCGCTAGCACCATGCGGTGTTCTTCTTTGCAATTTCCTGCATCTTCAAGTTAAGAGCCGCCCTACGAATGCGCCTCACAAGTCTATCTTCTTCAACCCCTGTCCAAAAGATGACATACCTTGTAATATTAGCAGCAGTATGAATAGGATCTGCAGGGAAATCTTTAAAAATATATGTAACTTATATTTTCAATCGATAATTTTTTATTTTTTATTATTACTATATAGAGCACAGTCATACATACATTTGATAATTAGAACTGATTATGACTGAAAAAGTGTTTTCTTTACTTTCTAACTACTACGGGAGAGACCTAGCTCATTGTAAAAGAGCACTAACATGGAGAAGTAATGGTATATGTAACTTATATTCCGTTGAATAAATGATCGGAAAATAACGCGACGCATATATAGTAATCTATCTGTCTAACTATCTAATATATATATATATATATATATATACACTAAAGTAATACTTGAAATGCCACGTGGCATTTTTTTTAGAGCGTTGACATGTGGCAGGTTTTTCTGAATTAATTGGCTATGAATCTTCTCCGTGATCTATATGTTTCGCACCTACTTCGGCCCATTAATTTCTGCCACCTAATTACCCTTTTCTTTCTAATTAAAAAAGCATGAATTGAAGCCCTTTGCCTTTTCAGTTTCTTTCCAAATGACTTGGTCAATAAGCTAGTAGAGCTGTTTAGTGACCAAAAATAGGAGGAGATTATTTTGAAGATTCTGTCTTTTGCAAGTAGTTTTTGGAAAGCTACCTCAAGTAGCGTTTGTCTTTGGGAAGGAGCTGCCAATTTTTTCTTCCGTTTTTGCCCCTAATAATTCTAATTTTGTATCAATAATATTGCATGTCTTTTTTAGACATTTAACAAATTTAAGCTAGTTGTACAGGTACTTTTGCCAAACAGCTCTAGTCAATCAAATCTTACAGCCTTCAGCTAGCTTAACAGCTTTCAGGTATAATCTCGCAGCTTTCAGCTAGTTTTGCTAAACAGAGCCTTAGCTAATTTCATTAACGACATTTGAAATTCTAATCATACTCTACCCCATTTTCCGTTTATTTTGCACGTACTATCATCACGGTTACATGTCATACAATTAACACCATTTATGCCTAATCATTAATGACAACCTTAGTTACTATAAACTCCCCCTCAAGTCATTTATATAGCCCTCCATCTCCTTCCATTTTTATTTGCGTCAAATCAATTTAGAATTCATTGTTGAGGATTTTAGGTATTGATGATTGTATTAAGATTCCTCCTTTATATGTCTTTTGAGAAAATTTTCCTATTTCCTGCTCTTTTTCTTTTGATTTTTTTTTTCCTTTTATGCTGATGAGTTGTTCCTAAACGAAGGAATGAAAAGTCATAAATGTTTGCATTTGTAAGGTAGTATATGTTGATGATCGAGCACATAAAGTTCATAAATAAATTTTGGTTGCTCATCCTCACTGGATTTTATTGATATACTATATATACGTCTAAGATTTATTTAAGTCAAGTTAGTTCCCTTATTCTTTAGTTAGCATTAGGGTTTTAGGCATGTCAAATTGGATATTAATTGTGTCTATTGACGCTTGATTGATGATTTTGTATCTTAGTTAGGACAGCAGTACATATTCGTCTATATATGAGTATATGACAGTATATTAATAAAATTTCACTACGAAAGATTTCATAATATCTACTTTTATTAAAATAAGTACATAATGTTAAAATAATATTAAAAGTTCCTAAGAAACTATTCGACCTAGCTAGCTACGAACCGAACAGCAACGTAAATTTAAGTAGTACAGAGAATCCTTCACACTCGCCGAGCTACAAAGAGAATATAAAAC